GGGCCCCCACCCGGCCCCCCTCAGGGAACCCCCCCCCCCCCGAGGCTCCACACCCTGCCGGCCACCCACCCCCACAGCTTAATGCTGTAGTTTTATTAAATTTTTCCCCTCAGTTTTTACCCTAACGAAGGGATTTTGGGAACAGGGTGGTTACCTGGGTCCGGTGCCCACCAGATAGGTGTTGGTGCCCTGCAGAGTCATGGGCCCCGGGTTGCAGCCCAGCACACGCACCACCCGCGACGACAGCCGCTCGATGCGCGGCAGCAGCGACACCATCTCTGAAGCCGAAAAAAACCAACCAAACCCCCGGCAAAGTCCACCCTTCCTCCCCACTCCGCTCTCTTCGACACCGCAACCCAAGGGAGGGATGGCGGAAACCGACGGTTCCCCCCTCCTCCGGCCTTGCTCCGCCTCCCCGGGGCTGTTCCGCCCGGTCGTGAGGCGAGGAGGCCGGGCTGCCGCCCTCAGTGAGGCGGGTCCTTCCCGGCCGGGGCAGCGGTGGGTGTTCGCTTAATAGTCGGCTTTTGGGAGCAAACGCTGTGGTAATGGCGTGGAAGAAAAGGCTACAAAGATGATGAAGGGCATGGAGCACCTCTCTGATGAGGAAAGGCTGAGAGACCTGGGGCTGTTCAGCCTGAAGAAGGAAGGCTCAGAGGGGACCTCATCAGTGCATCTGCCTTGCAAGGAGAGGCTGAGGGGCTTGGGTCTTTTTAGTCTGGAGAAAACTGAGGAAAAAAAAAAAAACAAAAAAAAACCCCAAAAACCAAAACAACAACAACAACAACCAAAAAAACCAAAAACCAAAAACACACACCACACCAAACGCCCACCAAAAACTCCACACCCACCAACCACCCACCACACTCAACACCTCGCCATAAACCAATAACCTTGGGCACTAGAGCATGCCCTGAAGAGCCATGTCTATACGTTTCTTAAATACCTCCAGGGATGGTGACTCTACCACCTCCCTGGGCAGGCTGTTCCAGTGCCTGACCACTCTCTCAGTAAAGTAATTCTTTCTAATATCTAATCTAAATCTCCCTTGCCGCAACTTCAGACCATTTCCTCTGGTCTTCTCGTTCGTCCTTTGGGAGAAGAGGCCAACACCTGCCTCTCTACAACCTCCTTTCAGGATGGGGCAGGTCTTTTTTCAGTGGTGCCCAGTGACAGGACAAGAGGAAGTGGCCACAAGCCTGAATATAAGAAGTTCCACCTAAATACGAGGAGGAACTTCTTTCCTGTGAGGGTGGCAGAGCCCTGGCAGAGGCTGCCCAGAGAGGTGGTGGAGTCTCCTTCTCTGGAGACATTCAAACCCACCTGGACACGTTTCTGTGGGACCTGCTCTGGGTGACCCTGCTCTGGCAGGCAGTTGGACTGGATGATCTCCAGAGGTCCCTTCCAACCCCATGTGATTCTGTGATTCTGTAATGGCTATCAATATCTAAAGAGCAGGTGTTAAGAGGATGGGGTCAGGCTCTTCTCAGTGGTGCCCAGGGACAGGACAAGAGGTAATGGGCACAAACTTGTACATAGGAAGTTCCACCTAAACATGAGGAGGAACTTCTTTCTTATGAGGGTGGCAGAGCCCTGGCAGAGGCTGCCCAGAGAGGTGGTGGAGTCTCCTTCTGTGCAGACATTCAAACCCCACTTGGACACGATCCTGTGGGACCTGCTCTGGGTGACCCTGCTCTGGCAGGGGGTTGGACTGGATGATCTCCAGAGGTCCCTTCCAACCCCATAGCATTCTGTGACTCCGTGAGGGGTCAGTGCCTCTCTGCTGCCCGGTGAGAGGCAGGTCCAGGCTGTGCTGGCTTCTTCCTAAAACCAGGAGGAATTGTGTTGTAGGGACAGCTTTATCTTCTGTATATTCCAAGAATGTGCCCATTTACAGTGTATATATGCCATATGGAGGTATATATGGTCCTGTAAGACATATAGGAGCATGTATACTCTTGTATGACATATAGGAACTGTCTAGGATTCCGCATTTTTAAGAAAATTGGGGAGCTACTAGGCGAAGGGCCACTAAAGTGCTGAAGGGACTGGAGCGTCTTTGCTGTGGAGAAAGACTGAGGGAGCCAGGACTGTCCCGGCCTGGAGAAGGCTCAGGGGGACCTCATCAATGTATATAAATATCCAAAGGAAGGATGTAAAGAGGATGGAGCCAAGCTCTCTCACAGGGCCATTGTCTTTGGTCCTGTCATGGGGCCCAGTGACAGGACCTGAGGCAATGGGCACACAATGAAACACTGGAGGTTCCCTCTGAACATCAGGAAACGTGTTTTCAGCCTGAGGGTGACCAAGCACTGGCACAGGTTGCCCAGAGAGATTGTGGAGTCCTTTAAGATATTCAAAAGCCGCCTGGACACAGCCCTGGGCAGACTGCTCTAGGTGGCCCTGCTTGAGCAGGGCATTTGGACTAGATGTTCTCCAGTGGTCCCTTCCCACCTCAGTTGTTCTGTGATTTTATGAAATTTTGTTACTGTTGACCAAGCCATAATGCTTGGACAGCATGCAAACAGCATGCATTTTGGAGCCTGCAAGGTGGCTCCAGTGCACCCATTTGGCTTTGCAGTGTCCCCCTCTGAAACCTCTCTGAGTAAGTGCCTTTCAACTGGTATTGTTAGAGAAATTAGAGCAGACTTAAAATACCTGTGAATGAAGAATAAAGATAATTTAACCTGAAAATAAAGCAGGTAATATTCCCGTGGGCAACTTTACCAACATTAGAATTTCAAATTAATTTAACCTGAAAATAAAGCAGGTAATATCCCCGTGGGCAACTTTACCAAAATTAGAATTACAAATATTATCTGGTTGTTTTATACCTATATAAAATCCTATATATTACCTGTAACAAATAAGTGTAAATTTATAAGGTGACCATAGCAATACAAAGCACAAAAAAACCGGCGTTTGGTGGTAGCATATTTTTTGCTTAAATGTTTTTGGTTTTTTTTTGCTGGATACACACAGAGGTCTGCATCTTGCCCTGTGTGAGACACTGGCATTCCCCCCTCACTCAGCCATTGAGCCAAAAAAGTTTGCTTTGTGACACACAAGAAGCTTGCTGGCAGTACGTTGTGCAGGCCTATATTATAAGGCAATTAAAGAAAAATATCTGCTCCTGGGCACAGATTTTAATTGCAGGTGTTAATTTCCAGGCACCAGAAAAACCACAGGCAGCAACTGTGCCACAGTACAGGCACTGGCCATCTCTGTATTTAGGCCTCCAAGCCAATTTCTTTGCTTTCTCCTATAGATTAAAACTTTACTTATTGAGTATATAGAACCATTACATTTTTTATTTTTTAGCTCATCAAAGCATGAACTATGGACAGCAGAAAGGATGTTTCAAGTCGAAGGAAAGAAGCCTTTTTGTGTGCTGGTATGCTGCTCAAATAAGCAAGACACCCCTACACACAATATTCCAGTCTCTTCCCGCATCATTTTCTTGTCTGTTGGTTTATAAGAAACTGTGACTAGACCCAAATTGACCTAATCAGGAGGTATCCTGTTATGCTGATTTTGTACCACATATATATACCGACTTGGTGGTACGTTAAACTCATTTTCAGTCCCTGAGTGGTTATAAGAAGGTACTGCCTAAGCAATGGCAAGTTGTGTATTTCAGTGGTTTCTTCTTTCTAGGAATATTCTGAAAGATTTTCTGAGATTTCTGAAATGATAGATCTGAAGTTTTACACGTCATTGATAACTCAGAATCATAGAATTGTCTAGGTTGGAAGGGACCTTTAAGATCACCTAGTCCAGTAGTAAAGTCCCAGTTATTTTTAACATAGAAAGCCTTTTTTTTTTTGGCCTAAATTAAGAATTGTTTGGGGAACTCTAGACTTGTTCTCTGGGGAATACTTATTACTGGTGTCACTGTCCTGTAGTGAAATAAAACATTTTCTAGTGTTAGGCAGGAGCTGTAAATCTGTTTTGTCTGTAGATGGCACCAATGGGTGCCTTTGGAGAGAGAAGTGCTTCTTTCACAATCATCTTAATTTCCTGCACAATTCCATCGGTTTAAAAAGTCAGTTGTTTCCCTTATAATAGAGGGGTTAATAGCACGTAGTGAAATTCTCACTATTATGCTCTCTAACGTGGTATAAGCAAGTATAAGTGTGGACCCTCAAGTTCTTTTGGTTCACTGATTGTTTTACGTTGTTAAGACAAAATTTTCAGGGGAAAAATATTCTGAAACGGGGAATGTTAGACTACCAGTTTGAAAAAAAAAGCACAAACCTGAATTTCAATAAACCTAACTTGAGATTTCTGGTCATATACAATGTGATATATGATGGAGGATTAATTTTCTACAGCTACAAGATACATAAAATGCAGTTTGGTATTTCTGAAAATCCCACAAGGTAACTGCATTTTTAGCACCCAAGAAACCTTTGAGTACTGGCACTTGGCTTTCTTCTTCGTTTTAAGCCTAAATGTTGAGGATAAATACCTTTCCACCGTGGCTGTGTCACAGCCCCATAGATCTAAATACAAGCATGTAATTCCGTGATGATTGGAGAGAATCAAGTGACTATTACACAGAAAATTTCGTGAGATACTTATCTTCATGGACATCGATGTGTGAAAGTCTTGTTGAGAGGATTTTTGGTTGGCAGGTTTTCACGTTTAGTACAATTCTAGCTGCTATTTATAAAACATATCTAAGTAAGATACGCATATATTTCTTGGTACTTGCAGAATTCTTCTTTCCATTTCATTATGTTTTTATGCTTGTTACCCAGTAGAGAGAGAAGTAAAGAGACCTTAAACCAAAAAGATGTGAGGAAGATTTTGCAGAGGGAGCGCAGGCCACAAGATTCCTGCATTATGAGGCAGCATGGTGTAGCAAAAATAAAAAGGCAGCTCAGCTGTTTTGTAGGAGATGATTAGGAGGGACAATAAAGGGACTGGGGCATCTCTCCCATGAGGAAAGAGTGTAGCAAAAATAAAAAGGCAGCTCAGCTGGTTTGTAGGAGATGATTAGGGGGGATGATGAAGGGACTGGGGCATCTCTTCCATGAGGAAAGGCTGAGAAAGGTGGGTCTGTTCAGTCTGGAGAAGAGGAGGCTCAGGGGGATCTCATCAATGCCTATAAATACATGAAGGGAATTTTATGATCTGTTAAACTTAGTATTAAATACAGACAGGGACCTCTAAGCCAAATTTTTAGAATAAAATGTTTATAATATAGCCAACAAGAATGACAGTGCTTGACAGGTAGCAAATTATTAACCATGTCACGTGGTTTCCATATGATTTTCGTTTCGGTTTCTGTGATATCAGTAAGCCCTTTAACTTTTCTTGGGTTGCAAGTCTTGTAAAAGTATGGATGGGAAACCTGTGAATGTGCAAATCTACGATTTTTTAAAGTGAAAAAATCTCTGTCCCTGGCCAGTATTAAGGTAAGTCTGCGTTTTGCAATAGCATTTTAAATGTATTGTGAGAATGGAAGCCCTCGCTAATCACATTTTATTGTTTCTGCCTTATCATGAAAGTGATTCTGTAAAAGTATGTTAGTGAAGAAGTATTTTAGAGCAGGCTTATGTTTATGTTGGCGACAGACACTTTACTCTTCTTGCTCCTGTCATGTTAGATCTCCTTTGGTTAGTAAGACCAGGGACAATATAATTCTGAGTGATATAAGACACTCTCTTCTGTGGCACTTCATTGTACCCTAGCTGGTACGTGAGACCATGGTGCTCTTTGGAGTGCTATCATGCATAAAATACGGGGGGTATTAAAGGCTGAGATCTTCAACAGAGATTTCATGTGCACCTGTGAGCAGGAATTTATGCTTGGGCTTGAAATGAAGACATTGGACACTCGGGAATACAGATTCGTAAGTCTCTGAGAGATTTTTTTTTTAGTTAAACATGAGGAAAACTTAAACCTGTGTCTTACCAGCCATTCCAAGGCTTTTCCAAGACTAGATTGCCTCTTCAAGTTAATTATGAGACTGTGAGCAAGCTGACATGCTTGTTGATGTGTGGCTCCTCATTTATGGCAACTTACCTGCTGGCTTCATATCCCACCAAGATGTCCAGCCAGGTCTGCAGGCTGCTGGCACGGCAGGAGATCGGACAGTCCGTGTGTCAGAAATCACCTGCCTCACAGCTACTCTTCGTGCTGTCGTTTCAGAGGAATACTGGACTGTAAAACTTCCTTTTTTTATTTGGGATGATACGATAATGAGGTAATTCCTCTTTGTGGGGCACCCGGATACAAAAGTATAGGGAGGTTGTAAAGAGAAAGGAATCCAGTTACCCTGTTTATTCACTTCAGGTCCAAAGTTAGAGGCTGCTCCTTGCCACTCAAATGCCTAGTACAGTATTACTCATTAATGTGAACTTTGGTATACTGCCTGCTTCCGCCATAAATGTTTGGGTTCAGTCATTGACTTACCTTTTACTGTTGTGTTTCCTGCAACATTCAAATAATGAACCTGTTTGGGGTTTGCGGGGTTTTTTGAATCCCTTCTAAAAAGCCTGTGTAATGTTCTTGTCACAGAAAAAAGGGTGCAGCTTGACAAAGGTGGTACATCAAGTCACTGAATGTCATAGAATTATAGAATGGTCTGAGCTGGAAGGGACCTCCAAAGGTCATCTAGTCCAACCTGCCCACAGTCAGCAGGGACACCCCCAACTAGACCAGGTTGCTCAGGGCCTCGTGATGTTCTTACATAGAACAACTAGACCAGGTTGCCCAGGGCCTCGTGATGTTCTTACATAGAGTAAATACAGTTTCCTTTGGAATTTTCTTGGATGAACCCTAGTAATAAACTCTTAAGTTGGTTCAGAGTTTTCAGATATGAAACATTTGTAGACATAAAGTTCAGTTTATGCTGGACTTTGTACTGAAATTCCCTTCCCTGGATCTGACTGTGATATTGGAAGTGAATTGCACTGGTGATTTGAAAGAGATTAGTGGTATTTTATTGGAGAGGATAGGAAAGAATAGTGGAAAGATTCCAGTTATCCCAGCTGTAAAATCCCCTGATCTTCCTGACCTCTTCAGGGCCAGGACACGAAACCTAAGTAGGAGGTAGAACAAGAGGCTACAGAGAGCTAAGGCCTACATCCAAAAAAATAATGTTTAAACACCCGGTACCTTTTTATCCTGTTGTGTTCCCACTTGTCTTCATTAGGAAATTAAGAGCTTAAGTTCTCTTTTTTTTTTTATTTTTTATTTGGATTTGTACCTGGGTCATAGTGTAGGCTACCCCAGTCAACACAAGTGAGGAGTAGGCATTACTTTCCAAAAGCTTTGTTCATGGGATATCAACCAATTGTCTCATTTCATTCCCCTGTGGCAGCGTGCCTAAAGTCACACAAATCCAGAGGAGACCTGCCCCCACCTGCCCAGCTCTTCCCCGGGTATTGCCTGCTGCGGTTTGGTGGTGGCACCAGCCCAAACCGGGTGCTCTGGCCAATCCTTTGGGATTGCTGCCAGCAGCTTTTTTCCTAAGATATGCAAATGAAATAAAGGACTTTGTCATTTTAATGTCTGTAGCTTTGCAGGGGTGGAAATGAACGAGACAAAGAATGTGCTGCTTTATAGCTTATCTCTTTCACCTGGCAAATGCCACAGATCTACAGGGCAAAGATGTGTAAGGACTACTCGGTCTCTTCTCCCAAGTTTCGGTCTCTTCTCCTAAGTTTCAGTCTCTTCTCTCAAGTTTTGGTCTCTTCTCCCAAGGAACAGGTGATGGGACAAGAGGAAACAGCCTCAAGTTGTGCCAGGGGAGTTACAGATTGGATATTGGGAAAATTTTTTACACTGAAAAGGTTATCAAGCCTTGGAACAGGCTGCCCAGGGAAGTGGTGGAGGGACCATCCCTGGAGGGATTTAAAAGCTGGGCAGCCATAGTGCTTAGAGACATGGGTTAGTGATGGGTTTTGTCAGTGTTGGGTTGATGGTTGGACTCGATGATCTGAGAGGTCCCTTCCAACCCAGGCGATTCCATGGTTCTACTCAGGTTGGACTCGATGATCTGAGAGGTCCCTTCAAACCCAGGTGATTCTATGGTTCTAAGAGGTCACAAGAGCCCTTGCAACTTTATGCAATGTAAATGTAGTTTGGACTGCGAATGAATTCTGTTTGTAGTAGAATATGTGGTTAGGTCATCTGTGTGTAGCTACTACTCACAGCGTGGGAGACATTTCTCAAAGAGGTGTAGACTGGTTCAGGTCCGGCTCTTTACAAGTCTCTAACAGGAGAGCTGTGATCCCATCCAGCACTTTCTTGCTGCACATGGAAAAACAGGCAAGAAATGGTGAAACCACTAGATATATGCACACAAATGCAGTAACACAGTTGGAAACGACATAATGATGTGTTCTCTGATACAACGGTGGGTACTTGAGACAGGACTTTTCTCAGTGTTTTGTGCTGTGCACAGTAAGGGAGAATAGCTCAGAAGTTAAGAAAGTTCTGGGAAGGAATCAATCTTTCAACGGAGCTGGTGAGGGGTCTGGAGAACAAGTCTGGTGAGGAGCAGCTGAGGGAGCTGGGGGTGTTCAGCCTGGAGAAAAGGAGGCTGAGGGGAGACCTTCTCGCTCTCTCCAACTCCCTGGAAGGAGGGTGTAGCCAGGGGGGGTCGGTCTCTTCTCCCAAAGAACAGGCCATGGGACAAGAGGAAACGGCCTCAAGTTGCACCAGGGGCGGTTCAGCTTGGTGATTAGGAATTATTTTGACACGGAAAGGGTTATTGCACATTGGAATGGGCTGCCCAGGGCAGTGGTGGAGTCACCATCCCTGGAGGGATTTCAAAGCCGGGCAGCCATAGTGCTTAGAGACATGGTTTAGTGATGGTTTTTGTCAGTGTTGGGTTGATGGTTGGACTCGATGATCTGAGAGGTCCCTTCCAACCCAGGCAATTCTAGGATTATATGATTTTTTTTTTTCCATAGCCTGCTTTTAAAAGCTAGTAGAGTTAAGCTTTATTTTACAACTATTAGGAATTATCTCAATGGCTGCTTCGTAAGTGGAGACTCACTGTGGTTGGGAGAGCAGGTGACCTCAGCAGGCTCAGATGTGCAGCTTCTCTTGTGCTGATTGCTCACAGAGATCTTAGTACATTCCTCATTTTGTACTTGATTGTTTAAACGGTGGCGTGAATTGCTGTACGATACTTTAAAAGGAAACATTGTTACTCCTGACCTTCCTTTTTTCTTCTTATTTATAGGAATGAAGGAATGAAGAATGACTCCATCAATTAAAAAGACAAATTACGTTTATTTTTCCAGAAAAGATACATATCGGTGTAGTTAATTTAATATTTAAATCAGGAATCCAGAAAAATGCAAGTCCCTCTGCCTTAATAAAAATGCATAACCCAATTTTCCTTTCTATGAGGAGGTGGTGTCATCAGGAAATAGACTCCATTGTAGATTTAAATTAATTTTGGCTTTCCTTTACGTGAAGTGAGGAGAGAATGACAACAGTGACAGTCTAATGCATGATGAAATTTACTAAGCAGAACTTTATATTTTTAGTTGCTGGATTTATAGTTTATGTAGTTGATATTGGAGTGGACTTCTGGGTAGTTAGTAAATATTTCTGTCAAGGACAATATTTTTGGAGTATATTGATCCTGTGTTTTAGGGGTCTTTCATCATTAGTAACTCAGATATTCAGTTATGAGTGGTTTGAAAACGACTGGGAAGGCACTAACACTGGGAAGCTGAAATGGATTTTTCTAGTTCATTTCTTTCACTGTGGAATTTTTCTAAGGTAAGCCCATTTTAAAATTTATTGTAAAATGAGAAATCATATTGCTTTAAGATAGCTTATTAAGAAATGCTTAATATGGCTTCAGGCACAAGGCCACTTCTGGCCTTAGTATATAAACAAAAGGATTTCTGTCTACTTATGCCAGGGGTAAGTTATGTCAGGTTTTGATGGGAATATAGATCTTTGATTTTACCTGTAAGTAATAATTTTTATCATTCACAGCCTAACTCTATTTGATTCATCAGCCTTTTGATAGGGCATGCTTAATAAAAATGCTCGCTTTACAGAGTAACACTGTTGTAACTGAAAAATGTAACTTTTTAAAGTGATGTTAAGAGGGGAATTAATTTGATTGCACTCAGCAGGTGAGACAGCTGAAGTAACAGGTAATTTTTGAAGCAGAAATCCTAACTATATGTAGAAAACTCACCAAGATTCAGGAGAAAAATGAATAGTTGAATAGTTAGTAAGAATCCTTGCAGCAGTACTTCCCACATGGACTGAGTTAAAGGTGACAGGAACCTTTGTTTGCTGAAGGGCAATAGTTTGAGATACCATATGCTTAACATTCTGTGGTGTCTTTGCTATATGCTATCATTATCATTGTCATTATAGAGATCATTTGTGCCCATATTTTATTTCCATTTTAAAACTGGGGTGAAAGATGTTGCTGAAAAGTCCTGAATTTTAATTATTTTGGGTATGTAACACACAAGAAACATGAGTGAATATAGGCTTACTGGAGGCACTTAAAAAATACTTATTTAGAATGCCTCCTTTAACTTCCTATAATATTTTACAGACAGCAATGAAAGATATGTTTAAGTCAATGTAAAAATTCCCCTCACACCCATGTTTTATTCCCTTGATGTTATCATGGATGAAGGAAAATGATGGAGCTTTTAGGTGTCACAATTAAATTTTGCCTTTTAAGATTCTTTTTCTTTTTGTCTGTCAGCTTTACTTTCCTGCTTCTCCTCCTTTACAGTCCTGAAGTTTTAGACCAGACCTGTGGCCGTGGGTTGGTTCATGTGAGACATATCAAGACCTGGCCACAGAGACTCAACTAGGTTCTGCCTTTTAGAGGAGATGTCTCATGGTCCACTGTGGCACTCTCCTTTTTGTGTGTCCCCAGAGGTTTTTGGTACGACTGGGAGAGCCATTTTTGTGCTTGTGACTTACGGACCTGCCCCTTTGAATTTCTTTCTTCCAAAGGAAATTAAAGCCATGACCTCTTTTTTTGATAACTGATGATAAATGTTAAGCCACTGAATGTAGAATGGCAGAAGCCTCTCTTTTAATGTTTGGCCAAAACACTCCCTTCTTCCCCTTTCTCTTCCATTCTCTGTAATCTATTTAGGTCTGTAATTCTGGTTTCACCTTTGGCTTTTTACAGTCCCGGGTTATCCCTAAAATTTCCTGCTGATTGGTGCCTATCATCTCTGAGATCTGCCCTTTCAACACACACTTTCCGAATTCAGATCCAGATGGTCCAGAATTCTAGATGCTGGAAACTTGATTCAGCACTTGTATCTACTTAAAATGTCGTTATGCTTCATCTAAGGTAATCCATGAAACTCTTGCATTTGCCTGAACTCATACCCTTTCCAATGCATAATACCCTTTGCCATGAATTTCTATAATTTTCGAAGCTTCCTTCCCTGAATTTGCCCCATCTTCTCCGAGTTACTTATTATCTAGTAAACATAATTTTTTCCTTTGCACTGACAGCATTGTCATCTTGGTTACCTGTTCTTTTTGGCACAAATGATATTTTCTCCTGTGCTGCCTCTTACGCTTGAAAAATCTTTCCAAGTTGATCTGTATAAATTACAAAGTTCTTTCAGCCACTCCTCAAAATTCAGCAGTCTGATAATGTGTGCTGTAAAGTATAAGCTGATAACAGCAAGCTGGCATCTGTGCTTGTACTTTTGTTTTCAGCTATTATCTGCTTCCTATTATATGTGTTTTCTGAGGCGTATCCATGTACAACTCCCTCCTCTCCTCCTTCTTAGTCATGCTATTTATCTGGTTTATTTAGACAATGAGCCTCTCAGGTTTATCGATACAGTCAATGGATAAAAATAGATTTTGTCAGGAGTCAGGTCATACTTTTTAAGGTGATCTTCTCCAAAAGGTCCTTTGGGGCAGGAAACTATATTCTCCATCCACTGCAGAGCAAAATAGGGGCCCAGCCAGTAAATACGACTTGGCCAGTGAAATTAGGATGCCTGAAATGATAAGGTGTGAACACACCTTACCAAATTATCTATCTTTCTTCCTTTCTTTCTTCCTTTCTTTCTCAATCTGGTTTTGTTGTCACACCGCTAATGCTAAGTAATAAATACAGAAATAATATGTGTGTATGTACTTATGTACATATATATATTAAAAACAGAGGAAATAAAATTAAAACTATTTCATATCTAATAAAGCTTTAGTTTATTTTGATGGAAAGAATGTAGACCTCTAATTATGTTTCACATAAGATGTTATTCTCTGTAAGCAGCAAAATTAAGTTGGTAAAGGATATCTATCTTGGCTATGCTGACTAAGGTGATTTTCAGCCTGGCCCATGGAAATGGGTGACACAGATGTTGGCAGAATTGAGAACAGGCTGCAGCGTAACAGTCAGCATTAAGACAATAACACAGTCAGTGAATATGGAAAAAGAGCTCATTTCCCTGGGGCACTGTATGAATGCTGGAGTCCACTGACGTGTAGCAGTTTGCAGCATCAGTCAAGGAAGCCTGAGGAAGACTTAATTTTGTCAATTAATAACCTTTCCTGTCAGAATAGAAGGTGATACAGGCAGCAGCCGTGGTGATCATGAATTATACAATCATAGAATGGTTTGGGTTGGAAAGGACCTTAAAGATCATCCAGTTCCAACCCCCTGCCCTGGGCAGGGACACCTCCCACCAGACCAGGTTGCTCCAAGCCCCATCCAGCCTGGCCTTGAACCCCTCCAGGGATGGGGCAGCCACAGCTTCTCTGGGCAACCTCTTCCAGGCTCTCACCACCCTCACAGCAAAGAATTTCTTCCTGAGATCTCATCTAAATCTCCCCTCTTTCAGTTTAAAACCCTTCCCCCTCTTGTCCTAGGGCTCCCCTCCCTGATCCAGAGTCCCTCCCCATCTCTCCTGGAGCCCCTTAAGGGACTGGAAGGGGCTCTAGGGTCTCCCTGGAGCTTTCTACTCCAGGCTATTTTCAGAAAAAAAAGGGAATTTTCAGAAATGCAGTACTTTTAATGAAATAAGAACCTATAAAAATAAAGCTTGTCGTCTTTATTGAGGCAAATCTTATTCTATTCTAGCAGTTTTTATATTGCATTGGTATCACTGGTCATGAATGATTACCTGGTATCACTGATACCAGACAGATTTTGGACTAAATTTTATTTTAGCAGAAGGTGGTGGATTACATTCAAAGATAAAACGTGAATGGAGAACAAAATGGGAGAAAATGTTGTTAGGCTGTGTCGTGTTAATGAGTTGTGCTTTTAAAAAGTGCTGTCTAATCAAATCTCCTTTTTTTTTTTTTCTATAGGTATTGGTTTGCTTTGAAGTATGGCTGTCAAGCTGCATTTAAACAAAATGACATCAGAGATGCATCAGATCCAGACCCTCCCAATTTCATTCAAAAAAGGGCTCTTGATGTAGTGACTGATATTAGCATGCTCAGGGTGTTCAAGACTTTTCTTGAGACCACACCGCAGCTTTTTGTCCAAATCTATATCCTCGTGGAACATGGTGAAGATGATCTCTGTCAATGTGAGTCTGCCTTTCTCCTTAATTTGCTAGTTGAGTGTCTTACCTAGAAAGATAACTCATGTGATGGGATAACATTTTAAACATGCCTTGGAAAACATGTACTCCACTGTATAATTACTCTGCATTTAGTTAGAATTTCGGTCTAGTAGATGGTCTGTTCTGCAAAATCCACGAGAAGGAAGATTTCACTATAACAAGTCATAGTATCTAATAGAAACGATGACGAGCTCTCAGAAGCAAGACAACAGCTGTGGCATTTCCAGCTCTCAAACTAGCAGCATTATTGGCAAAATGTTGAATTACTCAGGGTTGGAATTTATCTAACCAAATAGAGAGACCTACCCTGCTGTCTAGTGTTCCTTCAGAGTCCGTGGAGGCTACGGGTACTCGGATAAAATGGTTAGATAAATCTCATCTTAAATACGACCATGTGAAGTGTCAAGTCTTAGTTACAGATTTCTACATTGTGGGCACCCTGGAGTCAATACCAGTTGCTGAAACATAAGTTTTAATGGGCTTTTTCATAGAATCATAGAATCGTCTAGGTTGGAAGGTGGAGCACTGGAACAGGTTGCCCAGGGAGGTGGTTGAGGCCCCTTCCCTGGAGATATTCAAGGTGAGGCTTGATGAGGCCCTGGGCAACCTGGTCTAGTTGGGGGTGTCCCTGCTGACTGCGGGGAGGTCGGACTAGATGGACTTTGGAGGTCCCTTCCAGCCTGGGCAATTCTATGATTCTATGATTCTATGAAATCCACAAGAAGGAAGATTTTACTATAACAAGTCATAGTATCTAATAGAAACGTAATGATACATCACTTGAAAATAAGCAATTGAATACAATTAGTATATAATTTGCAGATCAACTTGTTTTGTGGGCTTTTTGCTTTCAGTTTCTTTTAAAACTGCTGTCTGGGAATCTTGAAATCAGTAATATATTTAGAGCAGCCCTGTGAATGGTTACACTGTCATCCAGGTGATACAGAGGAGGGAGAGAGTCAGAAAACCCCTACGGTTATTTCAGCCATAGAAGAGATATGGGTTCAGCTCTCAGAAGCAAGACAGCAGCTGTGCCATTTCCAGCTCTCAAACTAGCAGCATTATTGGCAAAGCATTGAATTACTCAGGGTTGGAATTTATCTAACCTAACGTAGAGACCTACCCTGCTGTCTAGTGTTCCTTCAGAGTCCATGGAGTCTATGGGTACTTGGATAAAATGGTCAGGTGAATCTCATCTTAAATACTACCATGTGAAGTGTCAAGTCTTAGTTACAGATTTCTACATTGTGGGCACCCTGGAGTCAATACCAGTTGCTGAAACATAAGTTTTAATGGGCTTTTTCATAGAATCATAGAATGGTCTAGGTTGGAAGAGACCCTTGGGATCATCGAGTCCAACCATCTCCCCTACTCTACAAAGTCCTCCCCTACACCATGTCCCTCAGCACTGCATCTAAACGTCCCTTAAACACATCCAGGGATGGTGACTCCACCCCCTCCCTGGGCAGCCTGTTCCAATGCCCGACCACTCTTTCTGTGAAAAATTCCTTCCTAATGTTCAATCTAAACCTCCCCTGTTGGAGCTTGAAGCCGTTCCCTCTCGTTCTGTCACTAATTACCTGTGAGAAGAGACCAGCACCAACCTCTCTACAGTGTCCTTTCACGAAGTTTTTTGCAATACTTTGGGAATTTCTAAGTGGATGGAGATGGCAAATATGGCATATAACTCAGGCAAGACCATCAAGGGCCAGAGGCTGCGCAGGATAGTATAGGCATACCCAACAGCATTAAATGCCTAGATTTAGGTAATTAAACTGAGCCTTAAAATTAAGGTAACTTGTCCAGGAGCAGAGGAAATATAAAATTGGTATAAAGAACGTGTTAAGACAGCACAAATTTGTCCAAAGCTTCATTCAGAAATTATAATGTAAAATAAGTGTCTTTTTCTTCGATCTAACATTGTTCCCTGTGTTTTGTTTAGATGGTGCCATTTTTATGTCTTTTTGTGGTATCTCCATTTCAACGGTTGACTATCAGATATCGTTACGAAAATCTCTGCCTGATAAAGAGGACTTTCACCTGCTTCCCAAGTTAGTGTACCTCTTCTATAAACTGCTCACCATCACTTCTTGGCTACTCAGTATTTCCCTCATCACTGTATTAAGTGTTGGAGGTTCTGTAATTCTGCTGATAGTTCTTTGGCTCTGTGGCTTCGCCTGGACTTTGAAACAACACACGACATTTTGCAACTCTAAGAAGATGGAATATCTGTACAGAACTGTTGTTGGGATCATTCTCATTTTTACCTTTTTTAACGTAAAGGGGCGAAAAACAAAAGTTTTCATTTCTATTTATTATGCTACTCACACTGTTGTAACTTTAGGTGTTTTGTTTGGATATATGTTTTGGAAACCTTCCGTTATCAAGGACATACATTTGACAGTTGTGAGCATCCTAATGATTCTTGGTCTGGTGTTAGGTATTATTTTTCTTATTGTTTACTACAGGCATTTTCATCCCAGTACTTATTGCAGACCGCAAGCGTGTTCAGACGAAGTTGATGGAGAGGCAGGACAAAGAGTGGAAGTTGGGAGATTTCAAAATTTCCTAATGCAATGAACAGTATAGAATTATTTTTTTATATGTGTGTGTGGACTTCAAAGCAAATACTTGCTGGATGGTCTGTTTCTCTGTCATTGTTTCTCATGTATCATCAATGAGTAGTACATAATGGACCAGAGTTACTGGCTCTGAATAACTATTGTTTTCTGTGATGCTGTACAAAGTGTTTAGAACACGAGTATTTCTCTAAGTGCTGCTCGAAATTACTTTGGAAAAGAAGCAATTTAATCTATCCATCCAACACAAATCACTGTTTCAGTTTTTAGCAATGGAAAAGCTAAAAGTTAACCAAATGAAAGCCAGCATTAAAAACATATTCTATTCATTTATGTTGATGCTAAAAATGAGGCTTGTTTTTCTTTTCTTGCTGGGAGGAAGGAGGAGTGTATTTGAAATAATTGAGGGCAGTGATCAGTTATCTCTGTCTGCTTTTCCCCTTTAGTGTAAGACTTTAGATGGGCCTAGTGACAAACCATACTGCCTTCTCCCTAAATATCCCCTCAAGAAGAATAGCTTTGATTTATGGCTCAATCACTGTCTTGCCACAAGGAAGTCTGGGGAGATATTTTCAAGCAGTTTACCTTCTAGGTGTTTTAATAGCTCCTTTATTGTTTTTGTTCTGCTAATCTTTCACACAACCTTCTAGATTTAGGGGTGATGCCAGTTTGTTATTCTGGATTATAATAGCAGCCTGAGTGATTTAGGGAGGGCAAAAGGAGTTAAAGGAAGAACTATCTTCCTTGAAGCTTTCCCCTCCTTTGAGCTCTTAAATGAGACTTTTAAATGCCGTTTTTTGCAATAGGGGGCTACACAAGGTATGCAGTGGTGCAGCTTCTTTTGTCTTTTTCACTGGAGAAGAGAGAACCAACTGTTCTGATGGGGCTAGGAAATGGTGGAATAACCAGCTTGTCCATCAAGCCTTTTGGGCAAAAGGCAGAGTGAAATTAGACAACATTTCAGTCCTGTGTTGAAATGCTAAATCAACAGCAAAGGAAATAAGGCTCGTAGAAATAAAATTTAAGGGGAAGTCTTTCAGAGCTGTTGGGTTTCAAATCTGAATTATGAAAACTGAGGCTTTCTCTTCCCCCCCTTTCCTCTCCTGATAATTCACAGTTGCAGTTCGAGTAGCCACAGGCAAAGGGAAGAAATAGGGTTTGAGAAAAGTGACTGGAGATAAGAAAAACTGATAAACTTTGCCAGGAACCAAATCTGTTAGCATTACTGACTGAGAGCAAACAGCCCTGAGACTTTGGGGAAAGGGCTGATGCTCTGGTTGATAATTAGGGTGCTGAAGTGCTGTGTCTTGTGCCTTTTGTCTCAAGTCCATGGACCGCAGGCTGCCTTTTTCTCGTTACCCTCCCAACTTCAGCAGAGCTCAGGGAGGTTTCTAAATGTGTTTCATTCCTGTTGCAGTTCCATAGTTCTCTTCACCGGGCTGGCCGCTTACATCTCCTTAATCCTATTGAAGGAAATTAATTTCTAGGTGCATAGCTTGGACTGAATGGCCTGCCTTTCTGAGGATACACATGAAAAAGCAGTTCAGTAAGAAGAATTTACTTCTAAAATCCCTCATTTCCACTTAGGGCTAGCTAGCACGTGGGTCCAGAATTTAAGACATAAAAAAAGCACAATCCATGAGACTTAAGCAATAGCTTTCCTAAAACGAATATATAAAACAATACCTTCACTCTCTCTACTCTGGAAAAAGAGATTTTTTTGCCCTGGAAAGGCTGCTTAGAAAAGAGTAAAAGCCAAAGGCTCTGTCCTGCTTCGTGGACCACAATCGCCCTGAGTTCTGTCTCCTTTATATACAGAGTATTTATTACTAGTGCTGGTGCCTTTGGCAGCAAAATGCATGCCTGGTTTTAGGCTGAATGTACTCTTATTTTGCTATGAAAAAATAGGATTCTAAATAGTGAAGACCATCCCTCTCTTGCTTCCCACACTTGTATTGTTTGTTCATCTGAAATCCTGAGCACGGCCTAAGGTACGACAGGGTGAAAAAATAGAGAATATTATCTCCATCTCGCAGAAAATTACCAAATTTTGTCTAACTGTTAATTGGAAGAAGACCTTAAACTTTGTAAGTTATCTGAGAAGCCGATCTCTGGGGAAATATGAGCTTCTGAGAAGCCCCAGAGTGGGAGTTTGAGCCGTGGGGCCTCCAGGTTGACTGCTCTGCGGCCAGATGCCAGAAACCTGGAGCCCGAGTTGCTCGTGAGGAAGGTTGGTTTCTGGTGAAACAAACCAAATTTGTCTTGGTGATTTTTTTCCCCCCACCCTTTCAGTCAACTGACAAATTCCAAGTAAAAGTATTTTGTTGCCATCTCTCTGGCCAACTATTAACAGGCATTTTCTTTTGTGGGAGAGAAGCTGAATGTTGTGCTTTCCTTATGTCTCCTTGTTCCCTCTGCTGTGCCACCGAGAAGAATTCTGTACTGAAGCTGAGGAGGTAGGAACGGATCTATGTGGCTATTTGTGTAGTACACTAATACAAATATACACCAAACCCAGTTGCTTAAGTTTCAATTCCTGATTTAATCTTGTAAGTCCTAGTGAATATACATTTGGCCATATCCTGAAACTAGGAAATCACACAGATTCTTCTCATAAAACTTAAACAGCTCTTTGGTCTCCAGCCACAAATAGTGTAAATGTCTCCATTTTGCTGTCGTCAGCCAGAGGGCCTCAAGAGATGGAAATTCCTGTTAGATTGTCCTTTGTAGGCTTTCATTTATTTATTTATTTTCAGCTTCAACATCCTGCCTTTCTTCTTGACTTTGAGTTCAAGATTTTCACTCGATTCCCTTCATGCTTTTCATACTTACGAAAATGGCTCCTAATTAATTTGGTCATCCTAACTCCATCCGTCGCTGTAGCGGGGAGGACAAAGGAGGACATGAATTGATTCCAAACACACTTCTTATCGTCAGTGACCGCTTCAGACAAAACAAGCAAAGCCCCACGTCACCTAGGTGTAAAGTTCAAACAATGGACTTCATCCATACCCTCTCTGTTCCTCAGCTACTCTTAAAATTCAGCTGCCACTCAGTTCAAGCATCGTGCCTGACCTTGTCATTTTAATCTAACTGCAAATTGAAAACAAATGTGTTTTTTTTTCTTTTCTGTTAAGTATGTCCATTACATCTTACAAGAAGTATTTTAATAAGTTAAATAAAAATAATAAACAATTTCTTCCTGTTTTGACTACTGTCAGACCTGGGTAAGAGGGACAACATTCAACAGAATTGTTTTAATTATCCTACTAATATTCAACGTGCCATTTGATGGCATTGGTGAGCTCACCTGATGTACCACAGATAGCACTGATTTATGAAGCCATAATTGGGTTTCCAATAAACATTTGTCAAAATAATGTATTCATTCAAACCAAAGCCTTCTTTATTTATTCATATAAAAGAGCACTTAACTTTCAACAAAGAATTGCCTGCCATCAAACACACTCCATAAACGGGGGAAATTTATGAAGACACAGTACCAGAGGGTGATCGTTGGAAGACTAAAGTTCACTTTAACCCTTCAGAGTACTGAGTTCCACCTCTTCCTTGTTACTGGTACTATGCATTTTTCTTTCTAAAAGCCCCAAGCCCAAACATTAACCTTTGTATATTTATTCATTGAAGTACTAGCTCTTTTTTATACTCTTGAGTCTTCTCAAACATGGTTTCAAAACGAAGATCTCTCACTGTTATTATGCAGGGGTGAAGCACATGCACAGCTCAAAGGTGGCTGGTTTTAGGATTACTCACACCACATTCTGTGCACAGTTTTCAATATGGGTATGTTCTTCCAAAAAAAACCCCAAACAAGCAAAAAACAAAACAAACAAACAAAAACAACAAAAAACACCTTTGAGAGGTTAAACAACTAATTTTCTCTGAACCTGAGGCAATACATGTATTTGTCATTTGTTCCAGCTGAAGAATTTTCCTGCTCTACCTCTTTGTGCAATTCTCTACTTCCTAGCACTTCATTTTACAGATTTTTAGTAGAAGATGAGCAAAGTATGTGGTCTATACAACCAATATGTGAATGAAGTGCAGACTACCCCTTGGGATCCATCTTCACCAGAAGTTTTCTTTCTTTTACCTCCAATTAGCTAGCATGTAACAAATTCCCAGAGAAGCTGTGGCTGCCCCATCCCTGGAGGGGTTCAAGGCCAGGCTGGATGGGGCTTGGAGCAACCTGGTCTGGTGGGAGGTGTCCCTGCCCAGGGCAGGTGGTTGGAACTCAATGATCTTTAAGTTCCCTTCTAACCCAAACCATTCTATGATTTATGATTTAGAAAGTGGTGAATCTTCCTTTAGAGGTCCACATTCCTATTGACTGCAGAAGGAACATGGACAGGATGCACTTTAGGTAAGTAAAATTAGGTGATGTAAATGAGGCTTTGCATAGTAATTCTATCACATGTAGCAGAACCTCAGCACATTGTCAGTGAGAATCTGTCTTCAGATTGTCTCCGTGGGGCTGTTAGTTGGCTACTGGAATCACTGAAAAGCTAAAAGCTGAATGGTGGGAGTGCATCTTCTTTCTCCTATAGACACTGTCTCCTGAGATCCTTTAAATCTCTTTTGCTTTTTCTGCAGAATGTCTTAAGTTTAGCATTTCAGACCTCTTTATTAGTGCTTTTGGACCATTTCTGAGCAACATGTTGAAGTAAGTAGCCTTCTTCTGAAACTTAACGCCTTTGGTGTAGCAAGCAACCATCTCAAGTATTTTCAACTTAAACTCTTATCAACGTCCATCAGGTTTTGCTTGGGTGCAAACTGCTAATTGGTCCCTGTAACATTTTCTGACTTGAGGAAGAAAGTGGAAGGAACTTAATCCTTGTGGATTCTCCCTGGGTTCTCTACCATCATCTTACCTGAGTGTGACCTTCAAGCCTGCAAAGCTGAACAGCACAGTTGCATAAACACACGGGGAAACAGGGTAGGCCACCTAACATGGAAGAAGTCCCCTTATAAACAGCTTCTTATATGAGACTGGCAGCATTTGCATAAGCTAATGAGCTTTGCTCTTTGGCAAGCAGTTGTTGTAATCAACAGCTTTTTAAACGAGCCTAATATGAGCAAAGTTATTTTTCAAGTTGTGTGTCCATTTCTACTGTGTTCTGTTAAACAGTCTGGGGAATTTTATGAAAAGCAGTTTC